TATCTCCTATTTATTTGAATTCTTATGTAAGTTATGGTTGACTTCTCTAAAAATAGTCAAAGGAAGGAAACTCATAATTTTGACTCTCTAACTCTGTTTCCTAAAGAGGTTATTTTACTTTTGATTCAAAATCTTCATCATATTTTAAATTGGATTTTGAAACTGAACTTTTTCATCTCCCTATATTTTATCTATCGCATATGAATCTTTTACAAGTTGTTGAATCCACCTCATAATTCTCTTAATCAAGTAGTTCATTTTTGTCAATAGAATGGGGTTGTTTTAGTTCTTAAAATATCATAAAGGAAACATATTTGATTGAAAGAAAAAAGTGTTCAATGATGTAAAATTAAAAGATGTGCAATGATGCCAAATTAAGAAAGATAAAAAAAGTGTATCAAATATTAAAAGATGTGCAAAGTGCGCCAAACAAATGACAAGAGGCATAAAATGAACCCACAAAAAGTATGCTTACTTTTCTTATACTACTTAAAGCTTAAGAAAACCCTTGATATTTTCAATACTTGAGCTTGAAAATCACGATTGCTGATTCACCAATTTTTGCATTGATCTTCTATTAGATATATTTTATGAAATGAGTTTTTGAAAAAAAAATTAGTATTTCTTTTTTAAATTTGTTCCTTGACTTAAATATTGGATTAAAAAGTCTTTGAGACTTTAAAAGAACTTAAGCTTGGAGCAATAAATTCTAAATTTCTAAAATTTTTTGAATTATGCGTTGTCAATACATCCCTTACTAAAATTTTGAAAAAAATCAAGAGGTAAGTTTCTCATTTTAAAGACTTTTTTATCAGGGTTTATTTTATTTATTTGTGCCCCTTCTCTTTTTGATAATGTCAAAGGGGGAGAACGTATTGTTGTATTTGTATCTTTTTTTGTAACTATTTTTTTTTCAAAAAAAAATAACAAAAAACTTGATTTACCCTATTTTTTACTTTTATTCTAGTAAGGGGGAGATTAGGAGAAAATATTTTTTCTTTTTTATAAATCCAACCTGTAATATTTGACATCATCAAAAAGGGGGAGATAGTTGCAACTCGTGACTATGAGTTTATGTTTTTTATAATAATAAATATTATGGCTCACTTTCTGTTGTCTACCTCGATTTATAATATATTTTTATTTTTATGTTCACTAACATTTCAAGATTACAGTGCACCTTATAAGACTCAAGTTTTAGCAAAACAAGTTTTATTTATGTATTTTTGTTCTGTAAGGGTGTATGCTTATTTATAACCTTGCTCACTTAATTCTATCTTTTTAGAGTTTTTTTTTTTGTCACATCGTCCGGGACGATCTACAAATCGGCATGGACGATCACTTAAAAATAAAAACCCTAATTAGGACATCCTAGTTAAGACAGCCATCATTAAGCTCATCATATTGGATAATATTCGTATCAACCAGGACGATAGGCTCAAATAAAAAAAATATGCCTCCAGATCTATTTTGGTATTGTTTATTTTTGGACATTATCCAGGACATCGTCATAGACGATGCAACATAATTATGCCTAAAATAATCTGGTAACTAAGGAAATGAATTAAGGTTTAATTTCTCAATCATATTATCCTGGACGATTGCAGGATTGGTCAGGACGATCAGTTCAAAAACCTTAGTTATTCCTGGACGTCCAAATATCGGCCAGCTTCCTTTTAAGGCGATGTTCTGGATAATATGTGCGTATTTGAACTAATCGTACAGGATGATATCCTATCGTCCTGGATGATATGAACAAAAACCTTCTTATCGTCCCAAATCATCCTGGCTGATTGAGCTTAATTTGTACTGATCATATATGATGATATTTATATCATCCTGGATGATAATGTCGGTTTGTTACAATTAAGAGCTAATTTGGAGCTCTTCTAATTAAACTTTGACAAGGCACTTAGTAAGTGTCTTTAGCAACCATTGAAGCTTTGTTCTTCTGGATAAAACTTGAAAAGAGAACTTGAAAGAAAGAGAGGAAAGGGTGGAGTTTGAGAGAGGGAGAAGATCATTGGAGGGGGTTTCAAGGGAGTGTGAAGGGAGTCCACACGATTGCTCTGACAAGCTTGTACCTTAGTACCATCAAATTCAAGGTTCGTCTTGAGGGAAATTTTAGGAAGAAGAAGATCTATTTGGTGTCAAAGGGGCCGGCTACTCTGCCGCATTGGGGAAGGTGGAAGTGATTATGTAAAGGCTTGTCCGCATAGCTGTGGGGGCTAAAGGAGAGACACTGAGCTTAGTGCAATACTCAGATGATGCCTCCGAGGAGTGGATGTAGGTCAGGTTGGACCGAACCACTATAAATCTGGTGTGTTTTTTCTTATTATTTTCTGCACTTTATTTTTACTGTGAATATTTGCTTGGGTGAAATCTCTGATTAATTTTTTTATTGTTGATTTAATTTGTTTCCACTGCAAGATATAAAAAGATTGTTCTTTTAGTTAAAGAAGTTTTAAATATCCAATTCCCCCCCCCCCCCCCTCTTGGTTAGTCTTGGAACTAGTTCATAAGGGCTTAACATCCCTGTCAAACTTTCAAGTGCCATCAAAGCACTTTCAATATGCACATGCCATATGAGGAGAGAACAAAGCTTAATGACAAAAGTGAAAAGTATATGTTCAATAAGTAGGACTCAAGCTCAAAAGGGTATAAATTTAATAATCCAATTAGCAAGTTGACTCTCATTTGTAGTGATGTGAAGTTTCATGAAGAAAAAATGTGGGAGTGGAAAACATAAGAATATAGTTATAGACTTTTTCCTTGCTTTGAAGAAGAAGAAAGTGAACAATTAATGGTGGAGGATATAAGAGGATAAAAATGTGTAGATCCTTCTACTTCATTGATCTCATCAAACTTATACGAATGCTCAATTTCAAAAATTCATTACAATAGTTTAAAAGAGAGGATGTCGCATTTTTTAAGCTTGTAGGACATTTATAATAGAGAATCAATATGGCATTAGTTTGTTCAATCTCTTTGGTGACTATAAACCCTTAAACTATGAAGAAGCAATGAAAAACAAAAAAAAAATGTTGGTGTTATGGATGAAGAAATCCAAGTAATCACAAGAAATAACACTTGGAAGTTTGATGCACTTTCACAATAGGAGCCAAATATTTGTACAAAGCAAAGATGAATGTTAAAGCAGATGTGAAGATCTAAAAATCAATATTGATGGATAAAGTTCTAAAAGTAACTTTAATAATGTATTTACTCTCACATTGCTCATTGTAAAATTATTAGACTAATATTTTTTTTGGGCAGCCCCATAATAGATGGAAGATCTATCAAATGAATGTTAAGTTTGCTTTCTCAGAGAATTCATCTACATTAAGCGACCTTTTAGACTATCAAATGAAAGGGAAACAAAAGACAACCATGAAGTTGAAGAGGGCATTATATGACATAAATAGCTTAGAATTTGATAAATACTTCCATAGAAGCATGTATTTTAATCTAATTTTAAAATGGATATTATTTAATTATATCCTAGTTTGTGGATGATCTTATTTACATGGTAATAATCCAATCACATTCAAGATGTTTAAGAAAGAAATGGACAAAATTTTAAAATGACAAACATTGGGCTCATATCTTATTTTCAGGATATTATAGTGAGAAAGTTATACTAAAGACTGTAATCCCATTAGCACACTAATAGATTGCAAAATCAAGTTGTGTATGAATGACATAGGAGAAATAGTGAATGCAACTCTCTGCAAAAGCGTCGTTGGAAGTTTGCACCATTGAAGTTGTACAAAAACATGTTTTCATACATCATTGTAATTGTTAGTTGCTACATGAAAACTTGATAATAACATATTTCAAAATAACAAAGAGATTATGTCATTACATTGAAGATACAACAAACTATGACAAGTTTTGTTCCTCTTCTAAAATATAGAATATTATTGGACACGGGCGTAACTCTTTACAGGTGAGGGGGGGGGGGGGGGGGGGGGGGGGGGGCCACCCCCCCCCCCTAAAAAAAATTAATTAGACTTAGGGAGATTTTACCAAACTGTCCCCCTCCCTCAGATTAATGGCTTGCCCTAGCCGATCCCGATCCACACTTTCTCCCTTTCTCCCAAATTATTTCCCGCAGTCAGCAGCCCCTCTCGTCATAGATCGCAAGTTCGCTGCCGCCCGCACAGCTCCATTTCGTCGGACATTTCGCTGGATATTTCGCTCGCTGGCTTGGCCTATCCACATATCTCACCACACAGCTCCATTTCGCCGGATATTTTGCCCGAGTGAGAGCTGATCAGAACCCCTAGGCAGTTTGACACTCGCCGGCTTGGCCTTCCACCTTCGTTGACTCCTTACTCCTTAGGAAGGTCGCTGTAGAGTGCAGAGCGTTTGTGTCACCGGCTTTCCCATATTTCAGCTCAGCGATTCAGCCTTTCATTTAGGTATTTCGGATTTTTTACATTTCAAAGTTTTGATGTCAGAACTTATGTCTTATATTTTGTGTTTTTCAATTTTCTTTAGTCTTATTACAGTTTTCCTAAGTTTATATTTTGTGCTTTTCAATATCTCTCTCTACTCTTAATCTTCACAAGTTTCCCTTGTATATGACATATGTGGAAGATATTCTTTGTCAATCGCCATAATTAGTCCTAGGCACAGATAAAATCTATTGACATCTAAGGTGGAAACAATGAGGTCATCATCAATTAACTGTTCTCATCCCTAACTTTTTCAATCTTGTCTTCCTTAGTGGTCTTAATCTCAATGTGATATATCGATACAATGTGTGCCTTATAATAAATTTTTATGTGTCATATTCACTGGTTAATGTTATCATTGTTTATCTAGCACTATTATTAGACCTGGGAATAATGCTTCTTTCTCTCGAATTCATGATAAAATTTTTTTCCTTTGTTTTCTTTACTTTGTTGATCAATCATATTATATAAGGATTTCTAAATTATGTAAAGATCTCTTTGACCGTTCTCAAAGAACAATTTTTTCATAGGATTTATCAAATGGAACGTTATTTAAAGAGGAAAGAACCTCTGGAAACTGATATTAACAATCTCCCTGTTGATCCTGGAATTCGACCTTCAATTTGGAGTTACGATGTAAATGAAAGAGATAAAATTCGGAGAGCATATCTGTTGAAGGGACCCCATCAACCGAAAAGTCATCAATTCCCTCAAATAGTATTTGGCAATCTTACACGTAGATTTAATCCGAAATGGTTTGAGGAATATCCTGTTTGGTTAGAATATAGCGGGCAGAAAGATGCTGCTTTTTTTTTGTATTGCTACTTGTTCAAACCTCAAGATAAAACTATTATGGGACAAGGTGGGGGAGACTCGTTCATTGGAGAAGGGTTCAGAAATTGGAAGAAGAAAGAAAAACTATTAAGTCATGTTAGAGAGCATAATAGTGCACATAATAAGGCTAGACACAAATGTGAAGATCTGATGAAGACAAAAGAACAAAGTCTTCATGTTCTATGGTTGAGCAAAGATGAGAGAAATAGAAAAGATTATAAGGTTATGTTGACTGCTACAGTTGATTGTGTACGATTTTTGTTGCGCCAAGGGTTATCATTCCGTGGGCATGATGAGTCTTCTGGATCAGAGAATCGAGGAAATTATTTGGAGCTATTTGATTTTCTTAGTAATCATAATGATGAAATAAAGAAAGTTTCATCTGCATATTCAAGCTCTAATTTGAAGTTAACTTCACGAGAGGTCCAGAAAGAAATTTGCTCTGCTGCAGTTGCTGAAACTTTGATATCAATCATGAAAGATATTGGTGACTCCTACTATGCCATTTTGGTAGATGAATCTCATGATGTTTCTACAAAGGAACAACTGGCTGTTGCAGTGAGATATGTGGATAGTCTAGGGCAAGTTGTTGAAAGGTTTATAGGCATTAAGCATGTCGCATCGACTAATACTGTTGCCTTAAAAGAAGCCATGGAAGATATACTTGCTAAACACTCATTGAGTATACATAGGATTCGAGGTCAAGGATATGACGGAGCATCTAATTTGCGTGGAGAGTTTCATGGTTTGAAGGCCTTAATACTTAATGATAATCCTCATGCATTCTATGTTCACTATTTTGCTCATCAGCTTCAACTATGTTTAGTGGCTGTAGCTAAAAATCATTGGCATGCGAAGCATCTTTTTGAGATTACTTCAAGAATTGTTAATACATTTGGAGCTTCATGTAAGAGGAGTGATGCTCTTAGAGCAATTCAACATGATAAAATAATGTTTCATTTGTCTAAAGGAGAGTTAAAGAGTGGTAGAGGTTTGAACCAAGAGACAAGCTTACAACGAGCTGGTGACACCCGTTGGGGTTCACATTTTCATACATTAATTAACTTGAAGAAAATGTATGCTTCAGTAATTGAAGTTCTTGAAATTATCAAAGAAGATGGGGTACATGATCAACAAGATGTTGAAGCTGGTGTTCTTATAAATGCTATGGAATCTTTTGATTTTATACTTGCTCTACACTTATTGATTGATATTTTAGGTGTCACCAATGAATTATCACAGGCCTTGCAAAGAAAAGATCAGGATATATTGAATGCAATGAAGTTAGTGCAAATGTCTAAACAACAATTACAGATGATAAGGGATAATGGATGGAATTCCTTATTGGAAGAAGTATCGCATTTTTGTAATGTTTTTGAAGTTGATGTTCCTGTTATGAGTTCTACATTCAAAGCCCGTCGACGATCTGCACGTAGAAATAATGATGCAACAAATTTACATCATTATCGAGTGGAATTCTTTTATACTATCATTGATATGCAACTTCAAGAGCTGAATAATAGATTCTCTGAAGCCAGTACTGAATTGCTTCTTTGTATGTCATGTCTAAATTCAAGTAACTCATTCTCTGCTTATAATAAGGAGAAATTAATTCGGCTTGCAGAACTATATTCAGTCGATTTTTCTATTATGGAACTTGTGGCTTTAGAGCACCAGCTATCGACATACATTCTTGATATGAGTTCAAGCGAGGAGTTCTCATCTTTGGATAACATTGCTGATTTAGCAAAACAATTTGTTAAGGCTAAAAAAGATATCGTGTACCCCTTAGTTCATCGGCTTCTTATTTTAGCATTAACTTTGCTCATTGCCACCGCTACAGTGGAGAGAGCATTTTCAGGAATGAAAATTGTTAAACATAGATTGCGCAGTAAAATGGGTGATGATTGGCTCAGCGACTGTCTAGTTCCATATATTGAGAAAGAAGTATTTGATTTAGTTCCAAATGAAGTTGTAATGCAACATTATCAGAAGATGCAAAATAGAATGCAAAGCTTGTAATTTTTATTGCAATATAATGAATGCAATGAAGTTAGTGCAAAAGTCTAAACAACAATTACATTTTTGTAATGTTTTTGAAGTTGATGAGGGATAATGGATGGAATTCCTTATTGGAAGAAGTATCGCATTTTTGTAATGTTTTTGAAGTTGATGTTCCTGTTTTGAGTTCTACATTCAAAGCCCGTCGACGATCTGCACGTAGAAATGATGATGAAACAAATTTACATCATTATCGAGAGGAATTCTTTTATACTATCATTGATATGCAACTTCAAGAGCTGAATAATAGATTCTCTGAACCCAGTACTGAATTTCTTCTTTGTATGTCATGTCTAAATCCAAGTAACTCATTCTCTGCTTATAATAAGGAGAAATTAATTCAGCTTGCAGAACTATATTCAGTCGATTTTTCTATTGTGGAACTTGTGGCTTTAGAGCACCAGCTATCGACATACATTCTTGATATGAGTTCAAGCGAGGAGTTCTCATCTTTGGATAACATTGCTGATTTAGCAAAACAATTTGTTAAGGCTAAAAAAGATATCGTGTACCCCTTAGTTCATCGGCTTCTTGTTTTAGCATTAACTTTTCCCGTTGCCACCGCTACAATGGAGAGAGCATTTTCAGCAATGAAAATTGTTAAACATAGATTGCGCAGTAAAATGGGTGATGATTGGCTCAGCAACTGTCTAGTTCCATATATTGAGAAAGAAGTATTTGATTTAGTTCCGAATGAAGTTGTAATGCAACATTATCAGAAGATGCAAAATAGAATGAAAAGCTTGTAATTTTTATTGCAATATAATATCTTGTTTGAATTTTGTTATAAATATATTTTTTTTATCTTTTTATAATTTTTCCCCCCTAAGAATTAAGGCTGGTTCCGCCCCTGTTGTTGGATATAATGATAATGATTGGAATGAAGATTTTGATGTTAGAAGAGAAGCACTAAGTTCGTGGTTTTCATGGGATCGAGCATATACTTTCACATTGATAATAGAATAGATATAGCCCAACATTTGACTATCAACTTGTAAATTTGAACATTTCACTAACATTTTGTGTATTTTTCGTGTAATTTGACTAAAAACATTGTTGAGAAAATTATTTTTTTCACAACAGAAACTTATTGATAACAAATCAATACTTGTATTGGCATAGTATCCTATCTTTATTATAGTACAAGTCTATAAACACATGTTATCACTATATCAAAGAATGTGTTGTAAGAATTAAGATAGAATTAAAATATGTAATGTATCATGATCAAATAACAGACATCTTTGATAAACCCCTCAGGCTAGAAACTTTATTAAGTTTTAAGGCATTCATCCGTTGAAAAAATTTTCTGGCTCCGCCACTGGGTTCCGCCCCTGTTGTTGGATATAATGATAATGATTGGAATGAAGATTTTGATGTTAGAAGAGAAGCACTAAGTTCGTGGTTTTCATGGGATCGAGCATATACTTTCACATTGATAATAGAATAGATATAGCCCAACATTTGACTATCAACTTGTAAATTTGAACATTTCACTAACATTTTGTGTATTTTTCGTGTAATTTGACTAAAAACATTGTTGAGAAAATTATTTTTTTCACAACAGAAACTTATTGATAACAAATCAATACTTGTATTGGCATAGTATCCTATCTTTATTATAGTACAAGTCTATAAACACATGTTATCACTATATCAAAGAATGTGTTGTAAGAATTAAGATAGAATTAAAATATGTAATGTATCATGATCAAATAACAGACATCTTTGATAAACCCCTCAGGCTAGAAACTTTATTAAGTTTTAAGGCATTCATGAAGCTATAAATTAAGTTTTAAGGATGGATGTTAAGTCTAAAATTTTATTGTAGATAGCAGAAGTCTCTCATTATGAGACACATGAATGATTGTAATTAAATATAGTGATGTCTATTGAGGTAAAGATTTATATGATAGAAAGAGCACCATAAGATGTGTGTTCTTTATAACATTGAGATATTTGTTTTTTTTTAAGATGATTCTTTCAGTTACATTTTTCTTCTGCTTAATATAAGTCTAAAATTTTCATACAATTGATAGAAACCTTTCTTTTATGGAGTAGTAGATGGGAGATTTTAGTCAGGGGTGAAACCAGCCTTGATTTTTAGGAGAGGGGCAAACTTACTTTTTCTTTCAAAAATTTTTATAACACCTATACACAAAGTGTTTAATTCTTTACCAATATACTGCAACACACCACGTCATATTTGACAAATCACTAATCACTCACAGGTATTAAAAAATGATCCATCAAGAAAAATGAGGATTAATTTATAATTTCTAACCATTAAAATCAATCATCACAGTTTAAAATAATCATGCAAGTTTTTCTGACTTAATTTTTTTGCGATCTCCTAAGTTGATTGAATCTAATATAAATATATATATATATAATATAATAGACCTTTGACTCTTCTGTTTTAAGTTAAAAAATCAGCAGTAAAAAAAGCAGAAAATACTCTTAATAGATAGTACGAAGAATAGAAAGCTAAAATTGCAACTCTTAAAGCTGGGCTTTTGTAGGCTGTAAAAATATAGAAACTTAGGTTTTGTTGAAACAACTTTCTTACTGCTTTTTAAAGCCGTTTTGTTAGAAATTTTTGTATTAAAAAATTGCTTTTGAAAGCATTAAGAAAGCTGTCACAAACGAAGCCTCAGTAAAGATCCTCACAAGTATGTATCAAGCTCTCTCAAATTCAAAGCTTGTAATTCATACATATGTACTGAGAAATGTGAACATTTTTCATAATGAGCAAACGAAATGCACGAAGAAGTGGCTAAGTAGTGGGCTTGCAATTTACTTGGTGCATGAAAAGTTGTTGGCAAGGGCGAAAAATAAGTTGGAGGGGACAAATTACCTAATAACCCATGAAATAAATGGGATTCCACCCATAATTGTAGTAAATTCTGAGAAGCTGGCAGAAAATTTCTTCATTTATTGTTGTATATGAAACTCTCTATCGTCTCTTATAAATAGGGATGCTCATCCACTATTTTGCATCAATTGAAGTTAAAATCTACAGAAAGCTTTTTCCATCCAAATATCTTCTCCATCTTAACTTCTCCAACAATGACTTCATTCCAACTTCCATTAACATATTTGTCCTCCCAAATGATAGACTTCCCTATAGGTCAACTACGAAGGGTGAATAAAATAGTAGAGGAAACTTAAATAATCGACCATTGGCAAGCATAGATAACATCCTTGAAAGTTTCTAAGGCAAATAAAGTACCTATGTAGGCAAAATAATTAGCTTATAACATGTCGTACTAGCTCGAAATTATTACATGCGGTCTTCAGACGCTGTCCGGAGGACAATTAGGACGTGCCACATCACCAATTCACTGTGTATTGTTGCTCTGTACCTTTATGTATTGGGTGACATGGCACGTCCTGATTTGCCTCCGAACCGTCCGGTGATCACACGTAATAATTTCTCCGTACTTGCAAGATGCAAGATTCATGAAGAAAACTTGAATATGTTGATTGAGTTTAAGGTAAGCAACAAATAGAATCCCACGAAGATCTCTATGAAAAGACAGCCCATAAAAGAAAAAAAAACAAATTTTATTATTTAATAATAAATAAAAACATATCTAATTAGGCATTTCATATGTAAGATTAATATAAAAGTTGATTTAAAAGGATTTATTTCCACTACATTAATGATTGAGTCTTCATTGGGAAAGTTTTCTTATTGCTTTCTAAAACAGCTTTTTAGTACAAAATTTTTTTAGTTCAATAAATTTTTGTACGTACAAAAAAACTATTTTAAAAAACAATATGAAAGTTGGTCCTAACCAAGCCTTCACATCATTTTAGCATAGATAAATAAAAGTAATATATATTGCCATAATAAAACAATTAGACCATAAGAAAATAGCATGGTACTAATTTTATATAATAATATAGCTTTTATTAAGTAAAAATTGGATATGAAAAGAGAAAAAAATCAGATATTAACTGCTCCAATGAAAGGAAACCAGCAAAAGTTCAGTGTGCAATAAAGAAGACATAAAATACATGGATTCAATAATATATATAGTTACACACTTACACACATGACAAAATGTACAAACTGCTTAACATGATAACCTAAATAGATAAAAAAGAGAAGAAAATAAAGAAGAAGGGAATAGAGACAAAACCTACACATTCATCCCCCCAACTGATACAATGGAGATGAACAACAACTAAATAGCACACAAATCAACTTAATTTACAAATACATCATAAATACAAACTAATAGATAATTAGTGAGATCAAGCTTTCAATCGCCAATTACTAAGTTGATTGTAATGTATTGTTAACTCCATCTTAATCAAACAATTCACTTTAGACTACATACTATGAATGAATCTATGAGAATTCAATCATAGATTTTAGAAGTGAATTGTATGGCTATGAAGGAGTTAATAATATCACTACGTACGCAATTAACCAAATAACCAGCGCTAGCTATGGAGAATCAAAATCAATCATCATCTCACTTGGATATAATAAACTTAATCAAACATTATTGTTGATGCTTTAGTATGAAATTAGTGGCCAACGCCAGGGCTGTGACCTGGTACTGATGGTCGAGAATCATCAGTCACCACTGCATCGGCGTTGTTTCCATTGATGTCTACTTCAACCGGGCCATCTACCATCTCACCTTTGTTATTGGGACTGATACTATCTTCCTCTAAGCATCTCTTGTACATTGTATTATTTTTCTCTATCAAATGCCTTCCCTCGCAACTCATAGATTGATAATGAACAAGGATGAGTATGACAAGGAAAGCAAAAGTGTAGGACTTAATGCTAGCCATGAGTGAGATAGCTAGGAGAAGAAGAAGTTGAAAGCTAAAAGGAAAAGGAAGATAGTGGCAATGGAAGAAGATCCTATTATACCTCAGCTAATGGGGAAGAGATTCTTGCTCCTTCCAAGCTCATGGACATGCTTTTATAGAGGTTG